GGCATAGGTACTTCAGGGGAAATTACATAGTTAATACGAGGTTAATTGATCCTATGCTGTTAAGGCAATGGATTAGAATCAAATGACCTAAGTTTACTGTATACTATATTGCATATTTAGAAGCTTTTATCTACTCACATATAGTAAATATTTGACCTCAAATTAAATTGATGCATTAAACCAATTCATAATTGTCTCAATATATGATAGCAATTATCATTTTTGAATTCTTGAAGTAGCTACATTGAGAGAGAAAATGGTAGTAATCAACGACGTCATATTGTGTTCAGCCTGCTGAAAACATAGATCTAGATCTAGACCCTGGTACGTCAGGTTATGCATCGTATAAAAAGGAACGCTCCTAAAAACCTCAAGCTCGTACATTTCTTTCAATAGTGCGAGACAATAGCGTAGTCTGAAAAACAAAATACTTATTCTAGTATATAAGATATTGCAGCTTTTTCACTAATGCCGTAATAGCACACTTAATGGAACCGAGACTATGAGGGGTTTAATATCAACCCATATGAAATCATCATTTTTGAAGTATTATATTCTGTTGAAGGTAACCTATTTATTGATTGATATAGTTTTGGTTACTTAAATTAGTTTTTTTTTTTTAGTTTCCACTCTGTTCAGTCTATATGTACCTACTTTTGCTCTTCTTCTAATTTTATATAACTGTGTTCAACCTAAAAAATATAAAAATCGTACTCCACACATTTTTAAGGGGAAAATATTATTGATTCGGACGGCAATAGTGTTAAATTTATATAATACGCTTTTGATATAGGTTTGGAGAAACTCTTAATTAATTACACTATTTTTTCTGGGGTTTGTTCTATTATATGATGATTTTTACTCTGACTAGTTCTTGGCCTTTATAGTTTGTTGTGCCCTGTCGACTGGGACCTTTTGATTAAACAAGCTTAACCTTCTCAAAACTGAGATTCAGAAATTACCTTTTTAGCAAACTCAACCTAGACTTCAAAAGCGCTTTCTACCATTTGTCAGATTCAATCAAATTATCCTTTCAAGATTTGATCAGGTGTTAAATTAAGCATTATAACTTTTTCTTTTTTTTGTAGGAGTAGAGGGTTAACCACCTTTCACTTTTTTCCTAGAGTCAACTTAAGTTATTTTTGTCACTATCTCAATCGGCTATTTATATTAGCAAGATTTCCTGTTTTTTTAAAAAAAGAACTCAAAGATAAAAAAAACTATTCCAAGCTACAATATTATATAAGCTGTTCTAAAGGGACTTAATGTGGCGAATTGTATTAAATAGTGTTTTTAGAAAGGCTAACAGCTATCTACATTCCTGGTCAATATTTTGTTATGTTTATCCCCAGAAACGATGCATCCCTTTTCACTGTAGCCATAACAGATTTAGCAAGCTCGGAAAAGTCCAAGTTATGACTATAGCATGGACAAGATTTAGAGCTGAAAATCGGCCTCAAAGTTTCAAGCCCACCGTTTATATAATGAACTGACACTATTCCAAAGAGCAATACTCAAAGTTGAGTAGTAAGAACGGTAAAATTAGGTATTTCAGCTTATAATGCTTTCAAATCATTGCGGCTGAAATTCAGGTTATTTCAATATTATATTAAATAATGGCCTACAGGATGAAGATGAAATCCAACGGTATAAAAGTAAATGAGCCGGTGTCTTATTATATCTCTTAGTTCCAAGCGTGATAATTTTGTTCGAAAGCTATTTCACACTTTTTCTGAATATCCCTTCAATTTAAATCAAATTTTAATTAAGCTGACTGTTATTTATTTTTGTTTGTTTATCTTTGCGCTTTATTGGTTTATGCTCATACTGTATACAACGTCTCGCTTATTAAACGGTTGGATATTTTCAAACTGGGTACGGAGTTGGAATCCCGACTCTGCTAGATTACTATAGCCGTGTATTGAGTAGATAGCCGCTCGGTTTTCCCGAGACTTTTTTAGGCTTTGGGAAGATCAGATTCCAATTATGAGTATTATTATTTTGCTTCTGTTCCTCAAATTCGTGTATAATGGATTTAATCTAATGACTACACTTAATTTGCTTCTTCCTGGCTCTTATATATACTCTACTTTCTAGCATCTCTATGCCCAGTGTTTTTAGGAAAGAAACTACAATTTCAATAAGCTTTCTCATCTTTCTTTACTAGTTATTTAATTATTGTATTTTAGTACATACATTATGGTTTTACCTAATTCGGTCCATGAAAACCCTGGTTTAGATTCTTATTTGAACCCCAAAAAAGATATTGATGAAAGTCATTTTGGTAATTGTGGTGATATAAACATAAATCGTGATAATAAGAATAGTCACAATAAACCTGAAGTATATACTAACGGTATCTCTCAAGGATCTGATGAGGTCTTTGACGAAACAGATCTTGATTTCCGGCATTTTGAAATTCCCACCCCTCTCGTAAATGATGGCCCAAATTTAACAACCAACCTAGTAGTAAATGACACTGAAAAAGGAACGTTTTTTAGAGACTTCTCACTGAACACAGCAAGACACAATTGTATTTTGGCCGACAATGCTGATCAGCCAGAAGAACCTGATAACGGTGTTTCTGATCCTATATCGAAGACTTTTTCAATTGTCAAATTAAACCACAATTTACCAGTTGATCAAGGTTATAGTTGGGTGTTCATGGGTTTATGTTGCACGCTTTCAGCTTTTTCTTGGGGTGTCAATTCTGGCTATAGTGTGTTTTTAGCCTATTATTTATCAAATGATTTATTCGAGAATGCCACAGACATGGATTTCGCTTTTATTGGCGGGTTTAGTTTCACTATGGGTTTTATTCTTTCCCCTTTAATCACTATTGTCATGGGTAAATTGGGGCTTAAAAATTCCATTTTTTTGGGCATATGTTGTCAATCGGGGGGTTTGATTGCCGCCTCCTTCGCTAAGAAAGTCTGGCACCTATATTTAACTCAAGGCATTCTACAGGGTATTGGTCTGGCCTTCATGATTATGCCTATCAATATTATAACATCTCACTGGTTTCATAGGAAGAAGAGTTTAGCTAATGGTGTTATCGCTGCTGGTTCCGGCCTTGGTGGTATTATTTTTTCCTTAAGTGGACAAGCCCTTCTGGTGTCTCTTGGCCTAGCTTGGGCGCTCCGAATTATTGGAATTATAACTTTTTCGGTTAATGTGATCTGTTTGACATTTATTCGCCATCGTGGTAAGGAAATCCCTATCAACTATAATTCATTTTCACGTTCAAGCTTGAAGATCCTTAAACGTCCCCATATATTTTTCTTCTACGCTTGGTCTGCGCCTTCAATGATGGCTTATTGTATTTTACTTTACTCATTGTCCGCTTATTCAGTTGCTATGGGATTTACCCACTTCCAGGGTGCTATTGTGGGCTCTCTTCTCCAAGTATCCTCAGCAGTGGGTAGACCACTTTTGGGCTTGTTTATGGATAGAGTAGGCTGTGTGAATGCTTCAGTGCTTGTAGGTTTTTATTGCGCTACCATAATTTTCGCGATCTGGATTCCAGCAACAAACTTACCCTTAATCTATGTATTTGCACTTCTTATTGGTGGGCCCTCTAGTGTGGTATCCGTTGGAGTTCAACCCATTGGTCAAGATATGGCCTCTCTGGATGAACTTCCTACTTTATATGCAGTAGTGTGGACAATCAACGGTATATTTGCTGTGTTCTCTGAAGTTATCGGTCTGAAGGTTAGAAAATTAGAATGGAAATATTCTTTTGTTTTTACTCAATTATTTTCAGGTTTGGCTTACTTGTTTGGTGCTTTACTTATGCTGAATTTGCGGCAGTGGAAGGTTCAAAGGAGCTTAACCAAGGAGCTTGATTATTTGGTAGCTTTGAAGGCCCAAATTGATCGGCAAACAAATGAAAAAAATAATATTTCCGCTGCCAATGATAATATTAATTCTAAGCTAATTATTTTAAATGATGAAGTGTGTGATATAGTACAGATCAATGCTAAAATTGAACATTTGCAGTCTGTATTGAGTGGTGGTTTAAGGAATAAGTTAGCGCGAACGATTTATAGAGCTAAAGTATAGACTTGATTGCATAACCTATAGAGTAACCAATTTTATTTGCATTACTTTTATCGTGTTTGCTTTCAAAAAATTTTATTTTTTGGGTTGTTTTTTACATATATTGAAGACAACGGAAAAAAATATGATAAAAAATAGCGATAAAAATAAAAAAATTGATTGCTGAGGGATTTGAACCCTCGCCTCTTACGAGACCCGAATGCACCTGCAAATCAGATAAGAGTTTTACTATCTCTTGAGTCGGGCGCCTTAGACCACTCGGCCAAACAACCGTTCTATAATTTCGGATAAATTGGCAGATATTTGATCGTGATCAATTTTGTATATTAGTATTTTATTTTATTATCGTTTCTAATTCCCAATTTTTCAAGAGACTTCTTATTTAAATCATCAGCCACAATTAAAGAAAATCAACTTTAAATCTACGAATCCTTAATTTATAAAGGAACATTTTTAATTACCCTATTGTCCTGGCGAGAATTGGTACACCATTTATTATCTACGATATTTTTTGATCCATACTCGTTATTAGTCTATCTAAATTCTCAAAGCTCATTTATTTATTTCATTAATATAATTTATTAAAAAAGATAACTAAATTTTGTCTGTTAGTTATTTTTATTTTATTTAGAAAAAAAATAAAAATAGCTAAGTTCACCCCCCCCTCTAATTTTTTTTCCCGAAAAACGTAATAAAGTATATAGACTATTTTGAAAGTTTATAAAAAAATTAAAACTGAAAAATAGAAAAGAAAATAGAATAAAAGAGCTGTAGTTTAATCGAAAAAATATTTTTTTAAAAAAACCCATTTAATCCAAATTTTGGCCTTTTTTATATACGATAGTGTTTCAGGCGTCTAGTGTTTGAATTACATATGGGTAAAGTAGGAGTTGAAAAAATAATTAAGAATATGGATGCCTAATATTTCACAGGTATACTAAGCCCGTGTAGCCCAATGGTTAAGGCGTTAGACTTCTAATCTGAAGATTGTGGGTTCGACTCCCATCATGGGTGCTTTTTTCTTTGGAAAGAAAATTCCTTGCTCTGAAGTTTTAGAATGGGAAATTTCTTCGAACAAATATAAAAACGTTTGAGCGTGTTTTTTTTTTGAGTTGCTTTTCTTCTACCAAGAGTTTTACAAAAATGGCACATATTATCGAACCGCTGATTTGATGTCCGCCGGGACGAAACCCACTGTTACACGGATTTGTTTTTTCAGAGTATATTTGTGTGCGTAGCGTCTGTCTCTAGCAGCGCTCTTATGATCGAATTTGTGAACAGACCAACTTTATAATAGACATTCACACCAATTATTGGCCTCATTTCAAATGCTTTTCTTGCCAGGTAAAAAAATGGTATATCTTATACTCTATCTTCGTTCCACAATATAATTTACAAAATGGTACATTCTGTACTTGCAAGAAAACAGAGTATGCCCATGCTTTTCTAGGTTACAGATTTTTAGCGTCATCGTTTATATAGTTTTATGTATAAATAATTTTCCATTTAACTATGGAAAAATGATTCAGATTTTTGAATCAGATGTTTTTGAAAACAAAATCAAGCCATTGAACTAATTGGCAAAAAAAGTAGGTTTTTCAATCCTCGAGTATCTGTCGCTAACGGGTAATACCAACCATATCAGACCAGAATAGCTTTATTCGGCAGTACCAGAGAGATAGAGACATGTGAAGCTATTATCTTGGTTATTTGAATTGCTTCATATTCTTGAGTAAGTGGTACTTTGCATATTTTACAAGCCCTTTTCTGATTGAGAGGATGGATAATGGGAATATCAGTTTTGCTCTCATTGACTTCCTTAAAGCTAAATACATACCAGACGAGTCTTCCAATACAATTTAATACTGTGAATTTGATTACCACTACAGGACACCTCGATCCTTTTTGTTAAATTATAGGTTTGCCGTTTTTTTTATGCTCGTGGCCCCTTCTACTTATATTCTAAGGTGATGTGAAATATTTGGTAACATACCAGCAACCGGTTTTTTTAGGTTATAAACCCCCCATTTTAAGATGATACCCATATATACAGAGAAGAAAAGCATTTAGTTTGTAATAAACATTGAAAACCCAAGTGAAACCCATGTATTTTAAACCTCAAAGGTTTTGGTTTCAATTTGCAGTACTCTTTTTTGTACTTTACGTTTTATATATGTACAATAAGCCCAATCTTCGGTATCTCCTAGTTTCTTTTTGTACGAGATTGCTTGCAGCCACAATAGTCTTTCAGAAAAGCCTCCACAAGGAAACGCTTGCGTGGCCAACATATATTCACTTTTCTTGTATATTAGACCGGGCAGTTAGAGACCGATACTGTGATGATGCTTTACGATTGAGTCAAAATATATAACTCCGCCATTGTTGGTCCTGGCGGTGCACTAGGAGAAAGATAGGTTGGTTTCTATTAATTTGTTGCAGATTGAGACACGCACGTAAGGAACGCGTCAGCATTTGGGAGGTGTTTGGCGACGGACGGTGCAGTTGTACGTAATTGTATACGCGGCCTTAACTGCATATACGAATTATCTGTTTGCAAAGCAGTATGCAGTTGTTTCCAACGAATAGCTTAGCCACAAGAAAATCCTTTTTGGGCGGGCCCTGACCCCACAGAGAGGCAGCTAATTATCTGTAGCAGGCCATGTTCATTATTGGTCTCATTAATTGCCATGCCAGCTTTACTCAAGTTAAAAAGATCAAAGTATCCATGCTGAAATCTAATTTTTTCAACACATAATTGCTAGATATCGAAATCGTATTCTAAGGTGACCTCGGACTAGAAGGTCAAAATTTCAGTTTCGCCTTATTTATTTCAGAAGATTGCATATAGTTTTTTTTTTGGGTGGAATCGTCCGGCTCTTCACTTTAACGCCCCCCTGTTCTACTTTTATCTTTGCTTCTGGATCTCTTCTTCTTATCGTGGTACCAAGGAACTAAGGCCTATCATGATTTTGCCTTCATCTAAAGAGAAACTCACTCCGTCCAAAATGGAGAGCCAAGCGTTTGCTAAAAAAACCGATCCCAAAATTTACCCCGAAAAGCCCCATAGTTCAGTATTGATTCATTTCTTGAAAAGTCTGATTTGGCGACCCGCTCGATTTTTCAGGTTCACCATTATAGGGAAGCTTTTTTTAATTTGCATTTTCAGCTTCATTGTGGTATATTTATTTAACCCTAAAATAACTGACTATATAACACCATCTGCGATCGAGTCGACAAAAATCAAACAACCTTATCAGGTAGGGTTTGACTCAAAATACGGAATGGAGAAACTCATTAATGATCCTGAGCACTACACTTTTCAATGGAGGGACTGGGTTAACTTGACACACGCTTACAAAAAGAGCTCTATAGTAAAAAGTTACATAAAGAGGACGCATATATGGCCTTTCAGTCTTTTTGAATCAGAAAGCTATCTATCCTACACGAAAGCTATTTCTGGTATTGTAGATACTGAAATCGAGCACGACATTCGTGGTAAAGTTTATCTAGATTGCTGTGCACCAAAACCAAAAAATATACTTGTTCTAGGTAATCAAGGATTAGACCGTTATATTATTTCCGAAGAAACTCGGTTCACTGATCTATTGTTGTTTGGGAAACGGCCATCAGACAAGATGCTGTATAAAGCCATTGAAGAGTCCAAAGTGCTAATGCCCAATCCCATAATGTCAAAACCAGCAAAAGAGCGACAAAAAATAGATCTAACATACGACGACTTCTTTTTTGATCTGAACAAAAGAATAAATATCGATTATAGTACCGCGGATATTGAACAAAAAGCAAATGCAGCAAAAATTAGATCACTAGTTCGTAACGCCCCTGAAAGCCCAAAACATTTCTATGAGGTTTCTGTTAAAAACGATAGATCAGGTATGGGGCAACATTACGATTGGAGGTTTTTCAAGAAAATACGCAATGTCAAAGATAAAAAAGATTCAATTCATCATTTGATGAGAACTTGGTTTGAATTTGCTGAAAAAGAAGGAATAATATCATGGATTGCCCATGGTTCACTTCTTGGATGGCACTGGAATGGTATGACCATGACGTGGGACGACGATGCCGATGTCCAAATGTCAGTCAAGGAATTGGATAGGTTTGCCCGCAAGTACAACCAAACCCTGGTGGTTCAAAATCCGGAATTTGGTGATGGACGGTACTATATCGACGTTTCACCCGCCTACGTAGATCGAACACAGGGTAACTTTAACAATATGATTGATGCAAGATTCATTGATGTGCGATCAGGGACTTACCTGGATATCACTGGCCTGGCATACTCAGCAGGGGTTGCTTATCCAGACAATGAAAAAGAAAAAGCCAACGTGGATATATCAGCAGAAATATTTCTATGTAAGAACAAACATAGATATACACTTTTAGATATATCTCCCTTACGTAGAACACTATTTGAAGGTTATCCGGCCTATGTTCCATCTAGGTATACGAAGCTTCTTAAGCGTGAATACAAGAAAGGCATTACAAGAAAGGGATTTCGTGGTTATGTTTTTGTTGATAATATACAGAATTGGGAAAGGAATATTGATTGCCTGAATTTGGTTCCTAATAAAGAGAATTCACAAGATGAGATTGAGGAACAGTCGTTCAATAAAACCACAGGTGAACTAACTTTATTTGGAGCATGTCAAAGTGAAGAAAAACTCAAAAACTTTCACAGATATAAAGTTCTAACAGATTTGCATAAGGGAGAAATGGAGGCTATTGCTTCGGGAAATTCAACATTTGAATTTATAAAGGATTCTACTCCTTTCATTCGTGACGTTCCCATATAGGTTCGTTTTTGGTAGCCTCTCTTTTTTGAGGATCAGAAATGATATTTGTTTCTAATTCTTTGGTAACCCTGTATATATATATATCAGTTCCCGGTTCCCATTTATTCTTTTCGTATATATACTACTTTGAATGAATCAACTCACTGTATATAATTTTGGCGCAAATCCAGAAGACATGAAACATGTAGCTATTAAAAGGAGCCAAAATTAATTGCCAATTTGAAGGTCTTCCGCGAAACGCAGAGAAATGAGCTATGACTTTATGCAACACCATGCAGATCTGAAGGTATATATATATATCAAGCAACAAACTGCGCAGCAACACCAATAAACTAGATGTTGGCTTTATCGGACGTATAATGATAAACATTGCAAAGCCCGAAAATAGACTAAACATACATTAAATAAATATTGCGGACTTCAGATATAAACATTTTTTCATTGCTTTTTCGCAGGGTGAAGGTGAAAACGACTAAAATATTCTCTATCATTTTGACTAATCAGCACCAGACAGAGACTATATATCCCCTATAGTACTAAACTGGAAAGCAATAAATGTTTTTTTAGTTGAACAAGGTATCAAAAAAAAGCTTTTATTATATAATCATAATTTTATTTGCATTTGATTCTTATCGACTACATTTAAACTGTGAACCAGAAAACTTGATCTTACAACGTTGAATAAAGACAGTTTTTCACTCCGTTTCTCACTCCTCGAATCTCTAGGGTTAGACCTTTTTATTGACTTTAAGATAAGTATGGATGACTCCATTACAAATGGTAGAAGTATAGTGAAAGAATCGAGTAAACATTCATCAATAAGAGCAAAAACTTCAGATTCACCCCATGTAAATCTCAAAAATGACCTTAATACGACAACACCAACATTATGTCCAACATCATTTAAACCACTGCCAACCACCAAGCTATCCCCTGATTGGAACTTTGAAAATAAAACTTTGGTGGCTAGTGGAGATTCGGCGTCAAAATCTTTATTAAACGCCAAAAAAGACGCAAGTGAGGTTGCCAGTTTATCAATTAATGGATTACTACAAGATTTGAGAATTACAGAGCAAATTTATTTTCAGGATTTAACCACGATTTATGCATTATATCCAAATAAAAGTGATCAGCAAAAAATTTTAATAGGTAGCTTAATTGATGCTCATCATCGAATTCCAACGAATTTGACTCTTTTGG